CCTGGTGGGCCGGGCTGGTTTGTTTACCTACTGCGTTCGCAGGTTCGGCCGATTGTGCCTCCCACTGGCCGCAGTTTGCCGCTCCAGGCCAATGGGGGCTGCGGAAAGCGGTGTGGGCCGAGGGATGTACCGGCTGCCGCTTCCCGCAGCCCCCATTGGCCTGGAGCGGCGAACCGTGGCCAGTGGGAGCTGCAATTGGCCGAACCTGCAGACGCGGCAGGTAAACAAACCGGCCCGGCCCGCCAGCGGCTTTCCCTGAACAAGCGGCATCCCAAGTTTGGGAAACACTGACTTAGAGGGAAAAGATACTATATCACATTCTTAGTGCGATGTTTAGCTTTTGGAGAATTGACTATGCCCTGTTTTTGATATCTGCTTGTACTACACAAAAAAAGGTTACATTCTATATTTTCTAAATTTGAACCCAATATCGATACTTTTAAACATCTTGTTTTTCATTTGGCTGGGTCAAACTTTTCTCTTTCTACCAGATCCTGTTAGGTGAGTGCAGACAGTAAAGTGTGCTTATGATATTGTGGTAAGTGCTCAGTGGAAGGTTACTCGTGGCCTCAATTCACAAATGAATAAATATGTCCGGATTACTGAGAATGGGGGATGAAGCAAAGCAACATGCTAATTCAAAAGATAAAGCTGTCCAGGTGCTTATTAGGAGACTAACTTTTTGGAAAAGGTCTGAAGGTAGTTTTTAAAGTGGCAAACAAATCTGTTTAAGTAGTCTGCAAAAACAAACAAAAAAACCACAACCCAGATGCTGATACTGGGAAAATTGTTATAATTTGATATGGTTCAAGTGGCTGATTGTGGATGAATATCACATGGCAGTTCCTTTGGACTTTTCCTTTTTTTATTAGGCAGATGTGGTATGTTGCAATTTTTCCCAGCCTCACATGCACACTGTTGTCGAATATTGTAGCTTGCCTTTTAGAGAACTTTCACCAGGTTAGCAAGAGAGAGAGATCCTAAGTGCTTCATGTTACAGTTGAAGGCACCTGGACTTGTATTTCTCCTCCGTGGTCCAGCAAGGACACCCACTTTCAGGCTTCCAGCTTCCTGGCTGTTGCCTCTCTTGGGTGGAGACAATTTCCCAGTGAAGACAGTGCCTAAACATACCAGCTTGAGGTGAGGTTTTGTGGCCTGCAATTTTCAGAAGGTCAGACTAGATGATTGTAATGGTCCCTTCTGGCCTTAATATTTGAATCTTCAGAGACTGATAACACAGTGATTACTATAATTGGAAGCTACCACACTGTTCTTTCTAAGCAAGCTTATTTTATTTTTAAGGTAAAAAACATTACAGAGAAAACATTAAAAACAATAAAAGAACCTGCATGCATGCTAATAAGCTTACTAGGCATCAGCCCACCGTAAGGGTTCTTTGTGGTTACAAGTTCATGAGAGCTTCAGCTCAGAACAGGTACACAGTCTTATGAAGCCTTAGTAGGCCAAATACTTCCAATTCTCTAAGGATTGGGGCCCTCCGTGAACCAGAGGTCCTGTCCATTTGCTGGATCAGGAAAAAGGCCCTGAGTCAGTTTAAACCCCAAGCTTTTATCCAAAAGTCTTTTCTTTGTCTGTTGGTCTCTGGAGAATGAAGTTTGAACTAGTATATGCATATCTCCCCAAAGGTGTGGCTTCAAAGGCTGATAACAGAGGAATACATGAGCATCCCCTCCCTGCTAGAGGAGGTACATATAATTCCACAGCAACACATACACAATTTCATTTTTAATACAGTTTATCACAAAGGTACTAACCTTATTCAGTGAAGTTTATCTTAATTCCATAAGGTTTGTTCAGGGTATTTTAGGATATTGTCAGTCTGTCACAGTTCATATGTTTTTCACAACTTCACAACTGTATCTGTTATGTTTCTAGAATATAGAGGGATACCCCGGCTTCTTTAGCAAGATGCAGCACTGGCTTTTTCCACTCTCAGGAGACACAAGTGAGGTTCCCACTAGTGTCACTCTATTCCTGCAACAGAAATAGCACAAATAACTCATTTATTTAGTTTTATATAATACATAAAACACCTTGCAGCAATGATCTCTCCCAGCACCTGCTGTGACGGAGGGCTTGGATTTGCTTGCTATTGCCAGTTGGCTTATTTTTATAAATTGCTTATCAAAAACTCATAATGAAACTTCTCTATTTATGGATAGAGTATATTCAAATACAAATAAGCTACATTTGGGGAATTTATTGAGTTGTCCTAATTTTTTATCCTCAAATTTTCAAATTGAAATTCTTGCAAATATACCCCAAACTCATGTATATGTCCATGTACCGTATTACTGATATGGAGCTCGTAAAACAATGACAGGTAAGTCAAATTGCAGGCCTTCCTGCAAATGTAGGGGCTAGACCATTTTAAATAAAAAGGTGAAGGCACTATCCTCTAGAGGGAAGTTTATAAAACCCACTCATTCTGTAAACCTAGAAATTGGATTTATCTGACTGTTTGCCTATAGTTAAATGAGTTAGTGTAATTCTTTGTGAGAGTTTTTATTCTGAAAGCAGTGTAATTGTGGGCAGAAAAATAAGTATATAACAATATTATCTTTTGATTCAATAGAGCTTCTTCCTACATTGTGTTCTGTCATAACTGCTTATTTCATGATAATTTTTTTTTTTAATTCTACATTTAGTAACACTTATTTCCCATAGCTGTCTTGGTTCTGGAGCTTGATTTCAACTCTTTCTCTCACATCTTCAGCAAAACAGTTTGGACCAAATTCTACCTTCATTTACACCTGTCCAACCTTAATTGAAGATAAAGGGGTTATACAGGTGTAACTGGTGGATAATTTGGCTTTTTTTGTATTTATTACCAATAGTGATACACAACCCATAAAAAATTCAGCTTGACTTTTAGATCCCAGTTTGTGTTGACCGAGCTAGTGATTGGGGGAGGAATCTTTTAAACTGGTAAACTGAGCAGAATCTGTCTGGAAGTGATTGAGACAGATATGGAAAGCTATGATGCCACTTGTACAGAAGCAGTTTTCAGAGTGAAATCATACTTTAAGGGCATACTTTAAATGCTGCATGCAGTTTATAAAAGGAGTGTCATCCTGCCCCCTCTCTTGCCAAATAAAAATCCTGGAAAACCTGTAAATCCCTAATGTTTGAAAATAGCATCATTTTTATTAAATAATAGTTGATAGTCATGTTTTCACTGAAGATGGTACTGTATTGCACTCACATTTGGCAAAATATTGAGACATTATTTAATTTTATTGTCTTAAAGTAATTTTTCATCAATAACGGGGATGCTATTATCTCTTAAGTTATCAATTCTCTATTCATAGATACTCAATTTTTCAGCCTTTTATCGGTGCTGATTAAGATGTTTTGAGATATGGTGGAAAAAGAGTAATTTCACCACATCTAAATATTGGCCATATTGCTTGCATAAGTTAAAAAAGTGAAAATACTGTATTTGGAAGTGTGTGAGGTCTGATCACTTCCATTATACTGATGTTTTGCTACTTTCTCTTCAAGAGTAGACTGATTTAAATACTACTTACTGCAGGAATGCATCTCCTCATGAGCAGCTGTATTATTTCTTACCCAGCAGCATGCAACTGTTATAGTAAGTTTTATAATCACATACCTAGTTTACATATTTATGGGAATTTTCTTGGCTAAAATCTTAAATAGATCTGGTATCCTGTGACATTCAGTTCTTCAAATGGTTGGCCTCATACCTGACATAACTGGCTCATGTAAAAAACTAAACTTTTGCAAATTTATACTTCTAATTTACAAGTAAAGGTACTTGAATGGTTGAAATCTTACAACTGAAAAGCTTTTAGTGACCTGTGATGGAAAGATTAAACTAAAACATATGGAGTCCGTAATGAGTGAATGTACCAAATTTCAGTATTCTAGCTCTATGGCCTATGGGAGGAACTTTTATTTAAGTGACATGTAACAAGTGTTTGTATTATATTAGATGAGAAGCTTTGTTGTAAATTAGATGCTAGTTGTTTTTTTATACTGATCCATGCTGGCTGGTTATCGTTCTCATTGGCAGGTGGAGATAGAAAATAACTGATGTTCAGGGTGACATCCTTTTTTTGTAATGACATTGTAACCTCTGCTTTGTCAGCTTCAAATGTCTTTTGTCTTCTATAGAAGTAACCCATCAGCATTTTTCAGTGTGGGATTTTCTGTTCACTTGTAGCTGGTCTAGAGTTCTGGAAGTACAATTTGTGAAATCATTTCAGGGGAAGCTATTGTGGTGTGAATGAAGATAAACAAGTTTAGGAACTAAAGCTCTGGTATTGGAGCATTTATTCTCTGAAAAGTTGTTTACTTTTGCACTAGAAAATCTTTCTGCTTCCTATTTAATTTATACAAAGGTATGAATATATTTAATGCAAGTGCTAACTATCCCTTGGAAAAGTCTGGTAACTTAGGGCAGAGGGCATTCCTCATCTTTGAAAGAACTGTCTCTGTTAATGTGATCTTCAGTATGACAGAGTATGACCCTAAATGCTTTTGTTTAATCCTTGGTACTGGTAATAAAATTCTGTTGCCAGCAGCCACCTATGCATTCACTTGAAAATAAGTTTCAGTACGCAGCAATAATAAGCTAGGACAAATCCTATTGTTAGTGATTTGATTTTTCTTGCCAGCATAATTTGGAATAACCTGTATATTTTTATCTTGCTAGCATGTGACTTTGAACTGTGCTATTTGTACAGTCCCGTGGTCCTGAATATAATTCTTAATATCTGTCTGAAACACTGGATAGTCATTTTGGTTTGATCTCTTGGATTCTTCGTTCCATTTTCTAAAAAATTAGAAACTCAAATAGTGTACAATTTAGTGATGGTTTTGTGTTCTAGTTTAACCGAATTACACTGCAGACTATACTGATGCCTTTATAATGCTTTCTAGCTCTTCATATATGCTATCACTGTTGACCCACTGTTTCCACCTTTGATAGTCCTTTTGTTTTCTGTTTCCAGGTGAAGTAGGAGCTGCAGAAGGAAGACCTGTACAGTTTGCAATAATGCCATTCCCCTTTGGCAAGTCCCACAAGTCTCCTGCAGACATAGTGAAGAATCTGAAGGAGAGTATGGCAGTTCTAGAAAAGCAAGATATCTCTGACAAAAAGGCAGAAAAGGTATATTTATGGTACTTTTTATGGGGTTTAATCTTTTGCTAGTGAAATATTAAACTTTAATTGGGGGAGGGAAAACAGAATTTACAAGATTTATAAATTAACGTATGTGAACTAAATAGAAATATTTTGATTTCCCTTCACACACTAAAGATGAAGAAAAGTTGTGTATTTTGTTAAACTGGTACTTCGATCTTTGTTGACCTTGGATCCTTCTGTCTTTGGCCACTGATACGTTTAGAATTAACTTCTCTCTAAGCAACCAACTTAGAAGGAGTTAATTCTCTATGGATCTAATTTTAATGGAAAAAAGATATACAGTTGTTGACTATCAATAGCAACCCTTGCACATAAGGGGAAAATTCCATATTAGTGACCTCACGCCCGCTGACATTGAGCAACGACCATTACCCTGAAGCCACGCAAGGAATACACATATGGTACCAGAATACAAATAATAATGGCCTGGATATTAAAGAAAACTTCAGTTGAAGTTGTGAATGTTTAGTCTAAAAGTACACCAATACCTCTACATGAGAATCTTTGTTAGGCAACCTTCTGTGTTAAGAAACTGTTCCAAAATAGCCCCCAACATATGCAATACAATTCTACAATTGTATAAGAAGATCGCCTTTGTTAAGCAACCAGTTGTTGTCAGTTGTTTGAGCTGATGACATAAGACAAGTCACACTGCATCTTCTTTATTAAATGACACCTGTGGAAGGTCCTCCCTAAGACCCCTGTCTCCTACAAGAAATCAGCTAATAAGTAATGGTTATGTTGTGTATCAGTGTCTGAAGTAGTGTATTTTATTTGTTTCAAATAAAGTTTGTTATGATTTGGAACTGTCATGACTGAGGAAGTTACGGACTAACTCTGACCCATGTAGCAACCTGATCTTAATCATTACTCTTGTCCTCTTTCCCTGTTTCTCTTATTACCTATTACATCTTGTTTCAGATTATATTGTGAACATTTTGGTACAGGAACCATGTGTTTGTACAACACCAAACACAGTGGGTTTCTAACCCTTATTTTTGGAGCCTTTGGGGTGCTACTTCAGTGCCAATAAGTTGTTAATAAACAACGGTAAAAAGTATCTGAAGGTCTCCTGGTGAGATGAATAGCATGGGAGGCACATACAGATCAATAGTGGATGGACTTAAGTGTTAATTAAAAATTTCATTATCGTGTAAGAGAAGGATTAGTGTGTTTTCCTAATTAGTGTTCAACCTGCATTGTTAGATAATTTTCTTTTTTCCAAAACAACTGCCAAAGGACAAGGCTATCTAGGAAAATATGAACAAGCCATCAGCCACCTAAATAACTGCTTAAGGAAGTACTCTCAAGTAAGGTACAAGAACCATTTGGCCTTCCCTGTACAATGCTGGTGCAAGAAGTTCATCTGGAAAGACCTTAACTTGAAAGAGGCAGTAAGTGAGTGGGTAATATTCTACAAAGGGAACCAGTATTTAAAAACAATAAAACTCACAAATCCCAAAGCCATAACTAAAGATGAAATTTAAAATGTTCTGCAAGCCAGCTTGCAAGCAAAGTTGTAAATCAGCATGCAATTTTTATTGCTCTGTACATCAAAATAAACATCTGATATCTTGGCTAATATGGGATATTGTTGCCCATTATTGATGGGAAGTGTGAAGTAAATCTGGAAATTTTTACACAGAGGATGTAGTGATTGGATATTCTTTTTTGATTAAGAGATCTCAGAATATACTTTCAAACTCCAGATCTTTTAATAAATAATAATAATAAAAAAAAAAGTAAATTTGTTCTCTGTACAAATAGTATTCCGGGTAGGGGAAGTCCCTCAAGCACATAGTAGAGATAAATGGTGACTGATCTTTCATTAGAATGATTCATAGAGAGCCTTTAAACTTGTATAATGGATGTAGGGTAATTTCTGAAAATAGATCAACGGTAACCTAAAGAAAAGAAAGTGATTACAATTTACTTCAGTGATTAGTACTCTGGGCTTATTTAAATTTTCTGTAGCCAGAGTGTAAACGTTTTCAGGTAGAAACAACAAATTGTTTGGATGTGAAACTCTAAATTTGAGGCCTCTTCAATGAGACTATGTAAAGATATTTATGTTTGAAATTATGTATATGCTGCATTAAGTGCTCACAGAATCAAAGCCTTGATGCGTACATACTGTATCCTGAACATAGAATGTGTAGTGCACTGAATTTGGAGGGGAAAAAATTGTTTGAAAAATAAGCTGTACATGTTATCTGCGGATACAAACCAAAGGGGTATTCATCACTCAGATTATTTTAAACTTGGTATGTGTTTCAGGATATAAAATACTGACTTTCAAATCCACGCTATACTAAAATGATAATTGTCCTTCCTCTGCAAAACTCCTTCTCTGGACTCAGTGACACCAAGAGACACTTATCTCCTGCAACATATTGCTATAGTTCTTGAGGTCACTCACATCTAAATACTCAAAGTGAGGATATAAAAGGGCTCAAGGCCACAAGCACACTTAATTCCTTTCCTTATTCTCTCATCACTATTCCTTTTCCCTGTTGGTAGTTTTAGCTTAATTTTTTAATGATTTAGTTTTACTATTTTTAACAAAAATATTTTATTGGCAATCTGCTTAGTGTAACTGTGTAGTTTACCTGAGTATCATCATGGTTTAGCTTATGGATCTGAAACATTGTGGATCACAACTGAAACTCAAAGACCTTCCAATCTAATTTGAAAGTAAGGTAAGACAAGGCAGGTAACAAACATAGGAGGAAACTGCAGAGGGCATATTTTAAAGTTACATAGGTGAGTTGTTGCACAAGCTGATAGTTCCAAATGATCAGATTTTTTTTCCTGTCATATAAACATATCGGTATTTTGTTGCACAACCCAAACATCACTGTTCGGTTGATTTCTTGTAGATGCCTATGTAATCAAGCATTATGCCTCCTGCCCAGTGGAAAAAAGTTGATGAATGTACATTTACTATCTGAAATGTCTGGGACAAGAGCATTCACCAAGAGACTTCTCAGAATAGGCTAGCTTTATCCTGTGGGCCCACCTGGGACAAACATACAGGCTGATGATCTTGAAAGCCCACTCTCTTGCCTCTGAATCTGAGACTAATCATGCTTGGTTTGAAAACAGGACATTTGAAAATCTAAAGAGTCAGATCCCTGTGGATTTGTGTTTTGTTAGATTATACTACCCAAATAATTGTATCCCCAAATAGGAAACAGTTGTAGAGCTGTTTCCTCTGTCCTCCTGGAGTGTACCATGGCCAAGGACTCCAATGATGCATCATAAGAGATGTAATCTGGCTAGGGAATCGTGCTTATTGAGAACTGGGGACATGAGGCACCACAGCAGCATTTCCAAATGGAAATATTTTGGTTTTCAATGAAAAATTGAATTTTTTTGAGAAAGCAGTTACTTTTTGTAGAAAAAAAATCGTTTGGTGGAAAACTTTTGACCCAGCCCTACATATGGACAATATGCTTATTTTTTGTGTTGGCCTAAGTCAGCCCATATTGAAAAAAATGTTTGTGCACATCTACATCTTAATACTTATTCATCTTCATTTTTAAGGCCTAGACTGCAGTTTTCATCCTCTCTGCAATATAATCTTCCAGTTACTCTTTTAAAAGATCAACACCCTTACCTCAAGATGAATGGAAGCTGGTTATCTCAACACGTATCATGGAAGATTGGCCTATCAGGAGGAAAAAAAGGCTTATTTTTCCCCCCTTAGTTATTTCTGGAAGGTAGTTCACCATATCATAGCTCATAATTCTGTGCTACCAAAGGGGTAGCAAAATCACATCTCTCTCCCAGATTTCCAAGCTAGTACTACTTTTACCCTCTTTCTCTGTCTTTATCTCTTCTTCTGCTCCACTTTTCACTCTTCTTGCTCCTTTCAGGGACCTGCCAAATAGCCATAATGAACACAGGTGTATGTCCATTGTATTAGTGTTGATTACCTGTGGTGTAAAGGATATCCTTATCCCTCTAGGATAAGTGAATTTTTGTTTTTTTTTAATACTTACTTTTTCTTCACTTAATTTTAAGACAGGTAAACAAATACATGCAATTTCATATTTTCCCTACACTTGGCCATGTGAAATTTAAAATATGTGATCTAAAGATTACACAATGCAGTGCAATAGAACTGGTTTATAGTGAAGACAAAGGGAAGCCCTGCCTTTTTAATGGATTGCAATATGAAAATTTCAGTTCTGGTTAAAACGAACCTATGTTTATAGGGAAATTCTGTGGAAGAAAAGTTTTTGCAGTACAAAAGAATTCCACTGTAAATGTACTTATTCTCTTCAGCTCTTATGGCTGAGACTCCAAACACAAAGTTTGAATATTTCTGCTATTGCACTGCATTAGCATAGTTTTTGTATTTAATATGTAGCTTATAATATTTCCCATGGAGCAGTAGCAGGAAATATTACTGTTACTATGACATCATATAGTCCTGTTACTATTCTGATACACCATTTTATAAATTGATGCTCTTGGAATGTAGGATTGTAAAGAGAAAATTTGAATAGAAGTTTTTTCAACTTTAAATGATAACCCTGACATTCCATTAGGAGGATGATTTATCTTTATTACACATTTTGCCTTTCTTTCATTCTCAGAAGATGGAAAGAGGCCGATTATAAGATGCTGGACAGTGTATGCACACGTTCACACAAAGCATGTGCTACATGATCAGCATGGAAGAAATTGTGAGAGATACAAATACATGAGACATTAGAGATAGTGTCACATCTTTTTCAATACAAGAGTAGTCTTCCTAGTATCTGAACAAAATGTGTTTCATTATAGCTCAGAGTTCAAGGATTTTTTTTTTAGGGTAACAATTTATTCTCCACAATTTATTTCTGAATGTTTTATAGATTTGCAGTACATACTAGAAGACTCAAAATTGGCTAGTTAGACACTAAATCTTTTGAAAAGGAAGCTGACACTACCTCTCTTGACACTTTCTTTGGTTT